ATAAATTGATGATCTAAAATTATTGTAAAATATTGTTAGTTTCATACTCTTCTCTTTCTTCGTTAATTTATCTACAACTTGTTTATAAATTTTAAAAACTCAGAATTTTGTTAATATTTGTCTAGAATTGGAAAGATGTACACGATGAAGCACAACTGACCAGAAATGTACGAAAATCTAATGTGTGGAAAAGCTTTTTTTTATATTTGCAGGTGAAGAGTTGCTTAGTTATTAAAATTGGGCCACGAATCCTTGGTAGAGACTTATATTGGGATTTTATTAAAATTATGTTAATTAACTTGTCATGCGCGAACTATTTTATGTTTATTAAAATTGAGCGCATAAGTGCATTGTATTTTTTCTCTGTCTTCTATTTCATCTGCCGTTGTTCATCCGTTTTAAGTTAACGTATTTGGGAAGTAGATGGCAGTGTTTGTCAGGAGGACCAAAGTTGACGGTGCAGCCTATACCAGGACAGTGGTGCGCTCTACACGTCAAGGAAGGAACTACGTTCGCATGAAATACCAAACTGTCACAAATTGTCGCTAAGCAATAAATTGTTTGTGAGGTTAAATTTGTTTCAAGTATGTGGAAATAGTTATATATGGGCAAGCGAGCATATTGATGAGTGCTCTCAGAGAGGTTGCACACGAGCGGGATGAAGTGGAGGTGACGGGACACGCTGGTCTATTTAATAACTTTTTAATTATTGTGGTAAATTAATATCGGAACTATGTGGAAAAATAAAATATTTGAATATATTTTTCCGGAATATTATTTTTTTGGTGTGAATTTTGCTGAGTCTGGAATAGATGTGAATGCATACGTATAGCTAAATGAAATAATGTGTTTGACAAATAATAGTACCTGATTGTCGACTTTTGGTAGAGATCGCAAATATGTCTAAAAACTGCCGTGTCATACGTGTTTTTTTTAACACCTGACAGATGGTATTGCAGCTTATAACCAGGTTACTCCAGGAGAATATTAACAATACTCATTCAAAAATATTCGCTTCTGTATTAAAGGAACGGACACTTCACGAGATGTTGAAATGCAAAGAATTAATTGCAGGTGAAATAACGGTCCACGTAATTTGAGACTCTGAGTGAAAGAAAAAGTGGTTTTTTTGCTGCTTAATCGTCAAGATTACCGCATCTTTATTTTCCAGAAGATTCTAGTAGATAGTGCTATAGAAATTCCACCGTCAGTAGACCCTACTGCATTGACCATTATAAAATAGTTAACAAAACGAAGTCTATTTATTCTCTCTCTCCATTCCTCTCTCGCTTTCAGATGTAATTTCAGGTTTAATATTACACATTTGGTGCATAGTGAATAATATTCATACAGTTACAAACGGAATTTGTTCGAGGATGTAGTTCATTCATATGTTTAATGTTTATCTTAATAACCCTTATCTTATTTTAAAAAGGACTTCGAAATGTATCTCAAGACTCATTACAGCCGTGGAGTACAATATAATTTCAATTATATATAAATAAGGTATATCTACATTGTATATAATGCACATAATGGGGGATGGCAGAATTGTATTGTTTTCAGCCAGCGACAAAGATGTTGGTTTTTTCATGACTATTGAATTAATATTCTGAATTTTTAATTCGATATTAGAATTGTTTCTTTGACGTAACAATATTTTTTGTCTCTGAGGTATATTTTCACTTAAATTTTTCATTATTTTATTTGTTGCTTAATCGTGAATGAGGTCATTCTCTACAAACAATGAACTTCTCTGCTGTGATATCATTATCTTCCATATGATGGGCGTTTCCATAAAATGTTTCCTTGGCGGAAATATTGTTGGTAAAAACTACTGCTGACATAAATGAAAACTTACTTTTACTGATTTGAGAAACGGGAATGAAATGCTAATGCTAATTATGAGCGACCTATAATAGCGCTGAATGTTCTATTTTCTGCCTTAAACATTGCTTCCGGTCGATTTTATCTCGGGTTGGTGCGTTCGTGCTGCCGACGGTTGCATTAGAAATGAAATGGCGCCACTCACGCGAAGGAACTTGACTTCGAACTTTCAAAATGTTAAGAACATAGTTCACCTTCACAAGCAAACACCTGGCAAAATTCAATATCCTTTCGCAAAAATATTAAACTATCTGATTAAATTCCCCCCTGATCGAGAAACTCTCCATTGGACATCGGAAATTCGAAAAGTGGCGTTAGCCATGAGAATCCAAACAAACATTCGACTTCGATATTTTGAACAGTACAAATAATTTGTGCTTTTAATTAATTCATTATTAATTAATTATGAGAAATATAAAGTTGCCAACGAGTTCGAGCCAGTTTAACATTTACAATAGCACTCTTCACGCGTAAAACATACATTGCTTTTTCTCTGAAGTACTTAAAAGTAAATGCAAATATAGCAAAGCTCAATACTTATCTGTTAATTAATCTTTCTCCCTATTTTCCTTTGTTTTGGAGTGCCGTTCATCAACAATGTACAGTCTCTTCACACATAGCCTTGTGGCTAATTGATATCACGTCGCATGAGAAGACTAGCATGCTAAAAGTCACTATTTTAATAAGTTAAACATCTGTGTTCTTTTTAAGTAAGAATTCTTTCCGTTCTTTAAGAACTTCCAGCGTTTCGTTTTATATTGGTGGATTCTACATTAATACTTCTCAACGTGTTTCATTAATAGCTTCGACTCATTTTATTTTAAAGTCTCGGTGAATGGTCTCGCTGAGTATGTTCTAAGGAATATTAACTGTGCTTCTCAGTACCTTATTCTGAAATCTTAGTACACATTTGAAATTTACCTCTAGTTAGAATTCATTCTTCAATCCCATATCTTCAAATTAGCTTTAGCACTTGCTTATAAACAAGATGCTTCTTATGAAATTCTAGGCCTGGATTTCTTCCAAGCATTCATCCGAATACATTTTTCTTCACATCCGAATACATACGCCTTCACATGAGATTCGAATCCAGTAATTTACTTTGAGTGTGAGATTATTTTTACTGATGAAATGGTTTTGGATAACAATGTTTGTTTTTTCAGTATTCTAATACTTTTTATTACTGCGTTTGAGATGTGGGTTATCATTATGTTGCCAACACGATCAATTAATGAGATGGATTATCAGTTTTTGAACGTGCTAATAGGTCATGTAAAAATTTTAATAAAATTAAATTAAAAATTTAATTAAACATTCAGACAGTCGTATATTTAAAGGAAGAAGTTTTATCTGCTATGAAAAAAAAATGAAAATGTGTGAAGGAACAGTTGCCTATCACTTTAAAGTGAAATAAATTTCTTACCTCTAAGTGTAGTTAATTAAAATTATTTTTATAAAACAAGATGTGTATCACTATCAAAGACGACATGCGTGCTTTATTATTAAAGTTTTATATGATCATAAGCAGCGTATTTTGGTAAAGGGTAGGGTTAAAAGCAGACATTGCAATGTGTATATACAATTAATAAAAATTTATTTTCGAAAACTCCAATATATTTATTTGGATAATGACATGAAAAAATATTATATCACCTTAAGGCCAGCAAATCATGAAGTAGCATAAGAAAATAGCAATTTTCAAGTGCAGCTTATAAAACGAAGGCATGAAGCGTTTCGAAGTTGCATTTCAGACAAGTCGACATGAAAGAAAATACAGACTACAAAGTGCTTTAGAAACGTAACTTACAGCTTTTCATGCGGCATTGGAAGGACATAGAGAGTGGAAAATGACCTATCGAAAGAAAACACAACATTCATTCTCAGATTTTTCAAAGGGTGGCTAGCAGTGACGTATGTCAAACCGCATAGCAAGGCAACACAACAAGGACTGATTCGAGACAAAAAATTTTATTTCCAAGCAAAAGGCGATAAAATCCTTTACATACATCACATCTCTCATCATTTTCACTGGCAATGCGGCTCTTTGGGAGCCGCCTTGTCGAAAGCTGCAAAGACGGAATCCTCCCTGGCTCTCTTGTCTCGAGAACACTCGAAACGTGCAACCCAAACGTTTTATAGAACTGTTGTTTAATATCGAAAAAAGTCTATGGGAAGTCTACAAAGTATGAACAATAAACAGGACTAGGCTCGCTCTGTCGAAGGGCTCGGGGTCGTAGGCGCGGGCGCAGGCAGTAGGGGATGGCTGATGCTGAGTGGGGCAGGGCAAGGCGCGAGGTTTACACATTCGGAAATATTTGAATTATTACCACTGTTAGGTCGTGGCCATACACGTGTTTGCAAACTGAACGCATTAAGCCGAGATGAAGCGCGTCTACAAGTATTTGTATTATCAAAGTAGGTGATTTTTTCGGACTAAATAATAAAAAGACTTGTTACTAGATTGCGGAAACTCGTACCGGTCATAAGATGTCTGTTTACACGGATTTTTACCTAGAGGGGTAGAAGAAGAAAACTGCGTCATGGTAATGCCTTCTTTACAGCTCATGCACCGGTAAATGCTAAGATCGTGTTGTTGAGAAACACTAGTTTGTCTCTAGTTGCTGTCACAATCGCGATAAACCGAGGTGTGAACCTCGCTTGCCCCACCCCAAACCTCTGCACCTCGCCGTGGCGTTCGCGCCTGCGACGGCCCCGTCCGTGCAAACATTCGCTACTGTCGAATCTCTTTGCAGTGGACTTGAATGAAAGATAGAAAGAGTTAAAAGAGCTGCTGCATGTATATGGAAGTTGATAACGGTTTCTTCTCATATAATACACCACGTACATGGATCGGGGCGGGGTGGGGCGGGGCTGGGGCGTGTTGAGGGCCGGGGCTGCAGTAACGCCCCATGGAATTTGGATAATTT